TTCCTCAGTTAAAATTTATCTGGCGTTTGACAAATTGGCCCTTATATGATTACAGTGGTTATTGATTGTGTTGCTAACAATTACTTTGCACTGAAATATAACACAATGTCGTACCTTTCTAATACCTGAAGGGCCATTAGGTATTACATCATTGGCTCTGGCAGTTTGTCTCAGTTTCAGTTATGTTTGTATGCCTTTCAGTTATGTTATGATTACGAGCCCCATGTAAATAACCGTAATATACCGGTCACAATCCCAGACCTGAAATGTATGTAGGTACCCACTAGGTACCTAAGTGAACTGATTAATTCATACTACTACTTAACCAAATTAACAATTACTTAGGCGCTTACAAAACATAGTTTCGTGTTCGAAATTGGTTTATTATTACGATTCTTCAATAATAGTACGTTGCATAATTGCATCGCTATTGTATCTGAACAAAGTGACCGGCTTTCATGAAATTACTGACATAATTATGATTGGCCGATTGTCATGTGTGATTACTGCGACGTGTCGTTATTCGAAAAATTCATAATACGTAACAAGTTTGCACTATTATTGGTGTAGGTATCCTCCGAAAGGTTTACATTATGTGACTACTATAACAGTTGACAACGTATTGCAGACATTCATAGTAAACCTACTATAGAAGCTTATATGCAAATAAAATAAAGAACAAATCTGTAAAAAATGAATCCTTATATCCTTTGGACAACCCGCATTGAGCAAGCGTGGTGCATAATGCTCAAAATTTCTCCGTGTGAGAAGAGGCTTTGCTCAGCAGTGGGCATTTATAGGTTGTTGTTGATGATCCTTTGAACAAGCCATCACGCGTGAACGGCCTGATTTAATATTTTTTTTTTTTAAACTTTGCCCCACACTAGGATTTTCTCCTGTGTCGTGGGTGCGTTTACAAACATACAAGTTCACATACACATGACACCCAGACCCGAAATAACACTTTGTGGACCACACAAAGTGTTGTTCCGTGCGGGAATCGAACCCGCGACACGTTGCACGGCAGCCGGTTGCCCAGCCACCGCACCAACCGTGCAGCCAAGTATTGTCAGAAGAAGATTCGTATCACAGAAAAATAAAACGAAAATCCTATGAAGTCGCGGGCAGAAGTTAGTCGTGAAAGAAATAAAATTGAAACAACACAACAATCCATATTCCACAAATCATTTAAAATTGGAACTCATTCCCCAAAATTTGTTGCCAAAATAAAAAAAAAACAAGGATTCTTCAAATAAAATCGGTTTACCCAACAGAACTTTTTGCATAATTATTGACGAGAATTTAAAAGAGTTGGTTTATTTGATTGCGAATGGAGTGCAACTCCACAGAATCAGTGTACACCAGTTAATAGCCTACGTGCATATTGCATCGGTTCCATTCCGTGATTGGCTTTTTAAGTGTCTCTACGCTACATCGTCCCAACGATTTCATTTTGTTTTTTTTTTCACTATTGTGTTTGTGTTTATGGAATTGGCTGTTTGAAGATCGGTGTTGTTTTTTTACAGAAATTGTAGCAACGATTGTGTTCATATTGGAAATGCTTCGTTTTATTACATTTGTTTATAAGTTGAGAGTATAGATTTATGTTTTGTAGTCGATTCACGTATGCCAAAAATATGATAAAACTACCTACTTAAAACATCACAAATTGTCACGCCTAGCCTAGGTATATGGGCTCGCTGCCATTGCAGCGATAAGTCCCCTCTTTGAGGAGTGGCTTGAGAGACGTTACGGCGTCCTCATCTACCGCCTGACGCAGGTCCTCACCGGACATGGAAGTTTCGGGAGCTACCTGTGTCTGATAGGGCGGGAGGAAACGCCCGGGTATCATCACTGCAAGGACCATCCTGAGGACACGGTGGAACACACTGTAGCAGAATGCCCTGCATGGGCTGAGCACCGCCGTGCCCTCAGTGAAGTGATCGGCGATGGCGACCTCTCGCGTCCGGACTTAGTGCAGGTCATGATGCGGAGCGAGGGGGACTGGAATGCCGTCTCCTACTTTTGCGAAGCAGTTATGCTAGCTAAGGAGGAGGCGGGACGCGTGAGGCAGCGAAGCGCTGCCTTCTCGTAACCCAGCCATCGCGAAGGCACATCGGGCGTCGCGTCGGGGATCGCGGGACTATCTCCGGTCACCGTAAGCGGGGGCCTGCGGACGGCGAGAATGGGTGGCTCCCCGTCCGACCGCAGTCGTCTGTATCGTCTACGAGACTACGACTCGACATAAACATAGCATGATTCTACGTAGCTAATACATTGCAACTAGGCATATGAGCTACTGCGTAGTTACTACGAGCTACTAAGTAGCTACTACTTTGTGCTCCTACGCAGTACCTAGCTACTACGAGCTATTGCGTAGTTACTACGAGCGAACTACTACGAGCTACTAAGTAGACTAAATTGTGCTACAAAGCAGGACGCAGCTACTACGAGCTACTTCGTTACTTACTACGAGCGAACTACTACGTAGGTACTACGAGCGAACTACTACGTAGGTACTACGAGCGAACTACTACGTAGGTACTACGAGCGAACTACTACGTAGCTACTACGAGCGAACTACTGCGTAGCTACTACGAGCTACTGCGATTTTGCGACATACGTATTTGTATTTTATGTTTTAGTGTTGGAGTTACATTGGTGTACCAAAATTTGTAATAAGTTTTTATAGTTATACTTAGAGTTAGCACTGATGAATAAAAACGTGTAACCTCATTTAATCCCCTATGTAATTGTGGTCCAACACGGAAATTGGACCTGAGCAAGAGATCCATCATTTCGCTCAATAGTCAAACATGCTCACTCAACCCACGAGACACTCTAAGAGAGTACCCTACCCAGTTATTAATTAAAAGTAAATTATTGTTAATTTTATTTCTAAACTTATTTTATTTTTAGAAATTAATATTAGGTAAGCTCCAACCTGCTATCCAAACTTGGAAATTATGGCATACCCTTCTTTTGTAGAAGAAATCCATTATTTAGCAGTGAGTGAACTCTCATGGGTTCATAATTGAGATCATTCTATTATAGCCATCAAAATTAGCTTCAAAAATGCATTCAACATCACAATAATTTGTAATTAGGTAATTAATTTACTTAATTGGAAGTGGTTTATAAACCTGGTAATATGTATTTTTACAATTACATTTTTTAAATAAATGATCAATGACACTGCACTTTTTGTGATATTGTGCGATATGATTGATATAATCAAGCAACCATCTAAGTTTAAGTTATAATTATCAATGCTTACGCTAATATTATAAAACTAGTGTGAGATGTTTGTTTGAAAATCTAATCTCCAGAACTACTACATAGAATATAATAATTATTTTTGTTTTGAGTAGTCAGTTTATTGTAAGCTATACAAGATCTACATCACATCTGCTACATTCATTAGGAATCGAGAAGCTGGTGATACCATGTGGGACTAGGTAGCAATAAAAATAAATAATTCACACAACACCTGAGTAGGCTAGCATTAGATGGTTGGGTCAATGGCCTAATGCAGAAAGCAGTACATACTTCTGGACACGGCACATATTGTCCAGAAATTCCTCTCTCTCTAGAGCCCTGACCACCAGTAGCGTGTATTTCTCCTGTTGGTTGTGGTATTGCTTTTATATATTTTAATGATAAATGTTTTTTTTATATACAATTAAATATTTAAAAATATACTAGCCAAGTTAAGAATACAAAAAATACAAAATAAGTAATTAAATATCAGAGGCCTTTCGAGTTTCAAGATAATTTAATTGAAGGAAAAGCATATTTTGTATCCAAGATCCACTTGAGCTAAAGAGCTTTTTTAAGGGGGGGGGGGGGGATCATCCAATAACTTTTCCCACTCGGTTGAGGTGAGAGCGAGTGTTAGACTCTTACTGACAAAACCCACCCCATTCCTACGCCTGCACTTCAAGCCTGAGCCCCGGCAACAAAGTCCTCCATGGCCCAAATAATTAGGCTGGTAGTCAATATTTATTAATGCTTACAACCCGAACTATAAATATCATACAACTCATACAAGGAAAAAAGTGTAATTTAAAGTTGTCAAAACTTTTTATAACCTCTATTAGTGTTTTAGAAAAGTATTTGAAATAAACATTTAAAATCAAATTTGAGATCTAATTAGTAAACTTACAGTTTTATAAATGAATATTTGAAAAAATAAAATGAAAATTACATGTTGGTAAATATTATTTGCACTTATTGTTTAAAACAAATATTTTTTAATGTTAATATCTAAGACTATTACAGTTAGATACGTACCCGAATTCATTGTGATTGAAGCACTAACTTAAGACTGATTTGTGTTTCATTCATTAACTAAATATTTTGTTTGTTTTGATAAAATAATACTGTTTACTGTAACTTTCCGGTCATTGGTATTTGGTGGCATTCCATTGCTTTAGGTTAAAACTAGACATAATTTGGTTCGAACGAAAAAGAAAACGTATACGTTATCAAAAGTGTACAAGAGAGATAGAAACTATACATAATGCTTTGATATTCGATCGAATCAAACTCTGAAACGCAGACGCACCTCGGTCAGTCGTGTCAGTGTCAAGTTTGAACTTTTGAAGTTTGACTGCGCCAAAAGATTGATGACATTTAGATAATAGGGCAGCCAATGAAAGGTAGATTAGTAAGAAATAAATTAAATAGTCGACTTTCTTCAACTGTAGTTATAAGTGTTATAACCATGCACTAAACTTCTAATCATAATAAGAATAAATTTCTTACAGTTTTCTTCTTAGTAACAAGAAGGTTTACAACGTACGATATCGCCTATTACGGTAATAGAACTGTGACAACTCAGTGAATTCAATACACCATTGCTTTTCTACTTGGTAATCGAGATTACATACGCAGTGCTACCACTCGCCTAATGCGATAGATCTGTACGCATATTCTGAAATAGTGAACTATGTAATCCCATCACATCACTATTATTAAATTTCACATAAAACTTACCACTATCAGCTGTCATTGTCAAGATAGTGTGAGAAATGAGAATTACGATGTTGTTTACGTTAATCGGATTATCGTAGTTTTTTTTGTAAAGTACGTAAGTCTAAAATTATCTACGTACTTTATCATTACCATATTTATCACAAACTTGTAATATTCAAGAAGTTGTTTGAACTTGCCGATTGAGCTGTAAAAACAAGTTTATAAACTTTGCAAGTGAAAGTTGTCCAGTAGTTTTGTTCAGTCAGTAATCTTTCGGCCTTTGATTACACTGGATGTTCTCAAAGTCTTGATTGATAACAAGAAATTGATTAAGTTTTCCTCTTGCTAATCACATTTAATCATCTCTCTGTGTCTATCTTTATCATAAATGCTTAAAACCTTAGTAACAGATAAAATTAAACTGTCATAAAAACTTCGATAAAAACGTTGACTTTGTACCCTGATTTAAATAGCCGCAGTTCTAAAGTCCTCGGCAGTGAGTAAAGTTGTTTAGCAAGATATAAAAATTAAAAAAAACATGGCAAAGGACCAAGGAGTCGACGAGCAATTAAGGTTGTATTTACCAGACCTGCCTAAAGGTCCTTTGGATCATTACCGGAAAAAGGCAACTTTTGATTGGCGACGCATGAAATTAGCTTATGACAACTTGAACACATTAAAATTGAAAGTAAGTATTGATTTTTTAACAACTCTATTTAGGTACCAGTAATTATATTTTCTTTGTGTAGTTTTCTGTAATAAAGTGAGTGTTGACAGAAATTTTTATATATTTTATTTTGTATATGTGAATAGATACCCAATACATTTACATTAAATTAATATTTGATTCTCAATGTAATTACCTACATTACTTTACATGAATATTAAAAAATATAATTTAGGTACTTTTTAGTGACGTCTTTTAAACTTAATGTAAGTAGAGATGTTCGTAATAAAATAACTATAATAGGTGATACAGCTCTCCAACAATTTCATTCAATAAATTAAAATATCAACAACATTCCTCTATGGAATATTATTAAATAAATTGGAAATAGTTAATATTGTCAAAGAAGTGATTTCTTCTAAGCTTAAAAGTTCTTATTTGTTGTCTTTTAATATTATAACTTATCATATTTAATTGCAGCATGATATTTGGAGTTTCATGGAAAGTCATCCGCTGTTCAAACATACTGAAGCAACACAAGTCTTGGATGATGAGAGGCATATTGCCACAAAGAGGATGTACACAATCTATAATGAACAGTTCTTGCGCTTTGAAAAGGTAAATAAAATATATTTTCTTTTCTTTATGATTTCTGCATTTTTCTGTTTTTCAAACTAATCCACACATAATTACAATTTACAAATAGAAAAATCGGCGGACAGTCTTTTGAAACAACGTCTTTGGCACCTAGCTACCATAGTGTTACACATAGAACATAAACACGTTGACACAAAGGACATCTGTCAATTTCTTAAGTCTGATAATGAGGTAACCCATTACACATGTTGCGGAGAACCTTACGGGTAACCGGGGCTCCGGCTCGACGTGCAGGAGAAGGAACGGGGTGGTTTTCAGTCAGTACGAGTCTGACACTCTCTCCCGCCTCACTCAGGCGGGAGCAGTCATTGGATGATTTTCCCACCTTAAAAGAAACCATTACACATGCACGCTTAAAAAAACCACTAACATTTGAGTGCTTCAAACTTTTCTAAACGACATCATGTCCACCTTTTTTAATTTCCTTGCTGCATGCAATTCATATGGAAACTACTGCCATCTGCCCTACACAACCATTAGCCTCGCACAACTAAACTAAAACCCACAACTGACCTTTGGCTCCTCTATCCCGTTGAAATCTATTCCTTAAATTTGATCATACAAAAGTAGTCTCTAAATATTGGAAATAAGGTCTATAATGTAGTTAGTGGAGAGTGGTCGCCGGTGACCGCTTGGGGATATATGGGCTATGGAGATTAATGCTTTTAAACAAACCAACCGTTCCGCTTTAGTTAATAATAATAGTATAATACGTTGATATATCACACCGAAAATTTTTCCAAACAAAAGTTGTCACTAAACATTGGAAATAAGGTCTACAATGGAGTTAGTGGGAGCGACGAACGGTCACCCCTTGGGGATTGAGTAGATATAATGATGTAAATACCAAAATATACACATACGTACAGAACAGTTTTATGATTTAAATATTAATTAGACAACTTGTATAGTAAAGAGTATATAGATATATAGGACAAGCGATGATAAACAGTCATAAAAACAACTATTTTATCTTTAATACCTAAGTAGTGAAGTACAACATTCTTCCAACTATAATATATTTGGCTATTAACCCGTTGAAATCCATCCCCTAAATTTGGTCATACAAAAGTAGTCTCTAAACATTACAAATAAGGTCTATAATGTAATGTAATATTAGTGGAAAGCGGTCACCGGTGACCGCTTGGTGATTTATGGGTTAAATTACTGATAATAGTATTAATTATATTTCCTTATTGAATAGAATACTAGTATTGTTCTATATTACCAAGTTGGACAAATATTTATTTTGTTTAAATAGGGCTGATGGCTAATTTGAATTTTATTTCTGATAGATTATTTTAAATTCAGAAAAGTGTTTGTTACACTTTTTTTTTTTTAAGGGGGCATATCATCGACTGCTCCCGCCTGGGTGAGGCGGGAGGTAGTGTCAGACATGTATGTTTTATTTTATTAAAGAAACGAATACTTTCGAGGTTATATTGATTTGAAATGTCGCGTGACGTCACTTCTATGTACATTTTATACGTAGAAATGACGTTTTAGCCCCCACTCCTAAACTTTGATTCGTTTTACGTAGGTAAAATTTTATGATACAAAAAAAATGTGTCAAATATATTGTCACTACCTAACTCACGGACTAAATAGAATTTTAATTTTAATATCCCGTCATCATCCCTATTAAAGTTATAACATAATACTTAGGTGAATTATAGATCTTTGCCGCTTGAATGTCAATGCCCTTGCTCAAGGCAAAGGTCACCAACCTCTTCTTTAATCTTTGTACATTGTACTACATATACAAAATATGTACTGATGTATGATTTTATGTTTCTATATTCTGAACTAGCTACTGCTAGGGGCATCGCCCGCCCACCCCTGGTATAAAAAGTAGCCTAGGTATTGGTCCAGATCATACTTAATCTACCCCTGTTCATTCAAATGTCATTGACGTGATTAAGTAATAAACATACTCAGAAACTTTATAGTAACAATTGTAGCATCAGGAAATTTTTGACATTCTCTCTACACTAAGCTGGAATTTATCTTGGCTCAGACACAATTAACACTTGAGACAGAATGGTTTCGTTCTGTTTCTTAAGTTGGATTTCTGCCATATAATTGAGTACTTGCCAACTAGTCAAATTCAATACTTTTTTCGAACTGAGGCCTTAGTACGAGTTTGATTTACGTTTAAAGTATTCGTAACGAGTACGCGTTCGGCACTCTGATTGGCCGGCGCCAATAAAGCAACCAATCACAGCGCCGAACGCGTACTCGTTACGATTACTTTATACGTAAATCAAACTCATACTAAGGTCTCTGGTCACGAGATACGTCGCCCAGCCGTTTCGAAATTGCAATTGAATTTTAGATACTTTTTATCTATGTATAATAAACATTTTAATGCTTATTTCAGACATAAAACTGGCATTGTTATTTGGACATGTTAATTTTTAATGATAATATAAAATTTGCATTAGATTTATAAGTATGTATGTGTGTATCTTGTGAAAAGAAATACCGAATATTTATTTTAAATTTAGTTAAAACATCATTTGAAGATGAACAGAGGTCATGCAATTAGGAACTACATACAGTGAGGTATATTATATAAGTAATATACCTCACTGGCAAAAGTTAATTGGTGTTTCCATCACTTATGCACCTGTTAACTTATATACATCTAAACATATAAATTGAAATTAGAATGTCTGTTTGTAATATTTAAATAACCGAATAAATTTTTACTACATACCTACATATGTACACCAACTCTGCCTACCCCCATTGGAGACAGGCGTGAGGTTATGTATGTAGATATGTATTAATATGAATATCAAAGTAACATTTTTTTTTAATTTTTGCCTGTCAGTTTGTTCTCGCTAATCTTTGAAATGGCTGGATTGATTTTGACAGGACTTTTATTGGCAGGTAGCTAATGTACTAAGGAGTTAGGCTACTTTTACCACGCGGACGAAGTCACGTTGTACACCTAGTATATGTTAAACCTGAAGACGTTTGTTTCATCACACTAATCTCTAGAACACGTGTTTGCACATCTGTTTATTTCAGGGATAGAAGGGCGGGTATGTTATGTTTATGTACAAATGGACAAAAGCCCTTTATTTGTTATGTACACACGTTCAGTAACCCAGTAAAAGGTTACCTAGGGCTGCATAAATAACAATGCATTTTACTTAATGCAAAACGTTTGTAAGTTGCCCGTGATTCCGCATACATAACATTAATATAACATGACATCACGCCTCTTAACCCCGAAGGGGTAGGTAGAGGTGCGGATTACGGCACCTAGTGCTACTGTACAATATAACACTTACTTTTCACTATTTATCTTATGAGTCCCATGTAATAGAGGGTGAGCCTATTGCCATATACCGGGCACAATTCCAGACTCCGTGCTACTACTGTGAAATGAGAATATTCTAAAAAGTCAGTAATATTTTGCCCGGGACCCCGCCCGGCGGCAGTCGCATTTGCGACCACTCGGCCAACGAGGCAGTCATAACACTAATATCATTTGTAAATAATTAATAAATTCTATTAAATTAGGTACTGTACTGTAAAATATTGAAAAATCTGCTTATGTACTTAATTTATGTTTTTAGTTATGTAATAAAAAATAGACATCAGAAAAACCCGTATCATTTAAATCACTATTTCATGTTTTGGGTCTCATGAAATAGGCAACGAGGTTCTCGCACATATTTATTTAAATTATTTAAATATTTATTATTATTATTACTATACATTTATTAATATTAGAGCTGTGTGGACTTGTGTCCACACTCCATATCATGGCCTTGTCGTCTCCTTTATTACATGTCTTAAGAGACAATCATGACATACCAAAATATTTCAAGGCAAAAATGTTTCAGATCGCCGAGGACCCGAAGACATTCCAAGCGGAAAGCGAAGCATTGTTCATGTTCGACAGTTCCCTAGCCGTGAAAGTCTCCCTAACCTTCAGGATGTTCAGCAATGCTATCCAGGGTAATGGAAAGGGCCACCACTACCCCATCATTGAAGACGTGGAGAAAGCCAAGATTGGAGGTTGCTTCGCTCTAACTGAGGTATCACATGGATCCAATGCCAAAGGGATGAGGACCACAGCCACTTACATTCCTGAGAAGAGGCAGTTTGTCATGCACAGTGCTGACTTCGAGGCTGCAAAGTGCTGGGTCGGGTCACTAGGTGAGTCCATGATGATAGCTTGACGTAATTGAATAAGAAATTGTTGTTTGTGTGAGTGGAATGTATATATTAAATTGTGTTAGTAAATACAACGTGTCGTATAGGGGGAAAAAATAGTATGGACCAATGATTATAATTATCGCTGAACAAACATTCTTTTTTTTTATGAGAAAAACCGATAAACGAGAAGACGGATCACCTGATGGCAAGCAATCGGTGTCGCCCATGGATTTCTGGAACACCAGAAGCCATAAGTGCGTTACCGGCTTATTGGAGATTAGGAATTTGAAGATTGTTGGGTGTTCAGGGATTGGAGGGATTGTGGAAAGGGGGGGGGGTGTAATTGGGTCTCCGATAACCTCACTCATACGACGAAACGGTTTTCTGTGAGGACGTGGTATCACTCCTTTCGAGCCGAAGCAAGGCTCTTCCACGCTCGAACATAAAAAATAATCTAGATATTTAAGAACAGCTCATGGCGACCAGTGCATTAAATACAATTATTTCCATATAAGTGGTATGCTCGAATAAATGCCTGGATAATGGTTTATGTTTATTTATTTCATTAGCTTATAAACAACCTATTGATGATTTTGATTCTATTAGAAGAAACGCGAACACAATGGGTTATTTACATTTGTTTAAATATCTAATAGTCTATAAATAACTGTACTAAATATATTGTGTACGCTACATATTTAAAAATAAGTTAATACATTACATTCTACTGTGTTGTTACTTGAAATCAACATAAAAAATAGAATCATGGATGATTTTTAATCCGCATGTTAGGTCTGACGGAGGGTATACCTTCATGCTAAATAAATCTGAACTTGGAAGATATCATTTCATGAACCATGATATTATTGACATTGATAATAATGTGACTAAAATCTGTGGTGGGACACTGTTCCGGCGTGGTCACGGGACGGCTGCACGGCGTTTGTGGCTTTGGAAAAGCCAACGGCGGGGCGGGCTGGCCGCGCGCAGGCAATCCGCCATTGCGATGGCTTTTTGTATTCGCGGTATATGTAAAATTGTATCATACGACATAGGTACTCTTTAAAGTTCAAATTTAAATGACAAGGGCAATGAACAATACTCTACGCTTTAATTTGTATTAGTGTTCTTGCTGCTTTAACTAGTACTTCTATTAATATTTATTTTTTTATTTCAGGAAAATGTGCAACTCACGCAATTGTTTACGCCATGTTAATATCTAAAGGGAAGAACCATGGTCTCCATACTTTCGTCGTACCTATCAGAGACCCCAAAACCTTGAAACCTTTCCCTGGAGTCATTGTGGGAGACCTCGGCGAGAAAATCGGCCTCAATGGAGTCGATAATGGGTATGTACAGTTGACTACATCATGCTAATATTATAATTTTTATGGGATAAGCCGGTAAACGAGCAGACGACCGGACGGTCCGACCAGAAACAGACCCGAGCGTACGGCGCGTCGCGTTCCGCGTGCGCCTCAAAGAGTCATCAGACCACCACAGATGGGGCCCAACAGGGCCGATGGCGATTCGGAGTCGCGGAGAACCTAACGGGTAACCGGCTCGACGTGCAGGAGAAGGAACAGGGTGGTATTAGTCATTAAGAGTCTGACACTCCCTCCCACCTCACCCAGGCGGGAGCAGTCATTCGATGATATTCCCCCCCTTTAAAAAAAGGCTCACCCCCTATTACATGTGACTAATAACATAAATAGTGAAAAGTGGGTGTTACATTGTACAGTGGCATAATGTGCAGCTCTGCCTATCCTTTCGTGGATAAAAGGTGTGATGTTATGTATGTTATGTGCTACCTTTTACCCGCGGCTTTGCCCGCGTAACTCTGTTTTATCCCATGAGAAGTATCCCATCATCTAAGTCAGCCTGCCTATATAATGTATACCGAAATCATCAAAATCCGTTCAATAGTTTCAGCGTGATTGACGGACAAACACAAACAAATAAACTTTCATATTTATAATTAAGAATAAGAAGAATAGAATAAGAATAATTTATTTGTGTGTACTCCACTTACAATGTTTTTTTTTTAATTACTATATTAAAATAAAATTATGCTAGACTATTAACTAGATAATAATAATACATTATTCTGCTTAAAACTATGGACAGAAAAATAATAGGACTAATACTAATATTTGTCGCGATTTGCTTGAACTAGGTTTATGCAACCTGTGTTTCAAGTCATCACTTTATTACTATTCGTGTTAAATCTATACAGGTTTGTATTATCACCTACTTAAATAAAATTTAGAAATTATAAAACAAATTAATCTATGTATGTGACCTACTTAAAGTAATTGACCTTAAAGACTAACTAACTACGTCAGTACATCTAAAAGTTTTTCTGTGTCATTATAATTTAATTTCAGCAAGTACTCCGTTATTATGTTACAACATTTCTTATGACTAAGGCTGTATACATTACAAGATTTATTTATCTTATTGTACAAAAACGGTCCGAGAAACATATAAAATCTAGTGCAATAGGCATGTTTAGTTTGTCTAGTTTGGCAGACCAGATTATTCCTTTTCTTTACCAAAATTTCACGGTCATAGGTGAGATCCGAATGTTGAAAAAGAACGATGTTTAATATACTTAATTGCCGTACTGTAAGAACCTTACAGGCCTTGTAAAGTTCTTGAGTAGAAAATCTAAAAGGGCGAAATGTCGCAACCTTGAGGATGGCCCTCTGAGCACGTTCTAGTGGAAGCATTATTGTTTTAGCGGCACCTCCCCATGATGTTATGCAATATGTTAGTATTGATTGGCACAAAGCTAAATAGACTTGTTTAATTAATACATAGTCAGCTATATTGCGTAAATTTTTAAATACGTACATTAATTTACGTACTCTTGTGCATAATAAATCTATATGTTTGCGAAAATTTAAATTTGCGTCAAGCGTAACACCGAGGTATTTAATAAAATCAGTTTTGATAAGCGCGGGACAGGTACATGCTGAGTCACCAAGAGTAGTACATTTGTGTGCATAAATATTTACATTAGTCATATGTGGGTTATGGTTTCTCATTGTGAACATGATATATTTAGTTTTATCTGCATTTAGTGTTAATAAATTTTTAGAAAGCCAAATAGTTACAGCAGTGAATCCTTTTTGAGCGTGTATGTAGAGCTCTTCCCGTGTATTAGCGGAGAATACAAGAGCTGTATCATCCGCATAGGACATTACAATGCCGTTTTTAATTGATAATTCACATAAGTCATTTATATAAATTAGGAATAGTGTAGGTCCCAATATACTTCCTTGTGGTATTTATAATATTTGGGTGATATTAACTATTTTGAACTTAAATCAGTACGTATTAAAGTTTAATTTAAACTGTCAAACACTGCGAGGACACCGGTGTCCGCAACCTATTGTTCTTTAATTGTGTCTATAATGACGGTACTCAACGAGTTAAATCTTGTTCTAGTTTCGTCATGTTCAATAACTACCACCTGCCAAAGGAGGCGGCGTTGGACAAGTTGGGTGGAGTAGACGACAATGGAGATTACAAGACACCTTTCAGGGACCCTAACAAGAGGTTCGGAGCAGCCCTTGGAATCCTATCAGGTAATCTGACAGTTGTATAATGTCTTTTTATTGGATAAACCTGTTAACAAGCCTATGGATCACCTGATGGTAAGCAATCGGTGCTGCCCATTGAAACCTGCAGCACCAGGGGCGTTACAAGTGCGTTGCCTGCGTTTTGGTTAGGAATTTGAGGATATTGTTCGTGGATTGGGGAGATTGGGGAGTGGGGTTTTTTTAAGGGGGGAAAATCATCTAATGACTGCTTCCGCCTGGGTGAGACGGGAAGGACTCCTACTCTTGCACGTCAAGCCGGATCCCCGGTAACCCGTTAGCTGGGCCTCCAGTACCCTCACTTACACAATGAAATGGATTGGGGAATTGTAATTGAGCCTTCTTTGTCTCTGTACTGAATTTATATTCATTTTCTTATACCTGCATACTTGGCTTACCGTACATGCAAGTTAATCTGCCAATCCATTTTGAACTTTATTTTCTCCAGTTAAATAATATTTTTTAGTAAACACACATAACATAACATCACGCCTTTTATCCCCGAAGGGGTAGGCAGAGGTGCACATAGAAGTAACACACACCATTAAATTAAATGGCAATCTTTTTATATTAGTTTGAAATGTTAGTTCGATCATCAAAGAGGAAATATGGGGGTTACCTGGAAAGCTTACCGGGAGTTTTAAAAATCATCAATTTTGTAGATTTTAATTAGGTATTTTGTTCTTTCCTATTTCCATTTAGCACCTTAGTACGTGCGCCGCTCGCGCCGCCATCTTGGAAAAATGACTTCAACAGTTTTTTTTGTAATATTTTTATTTACGTTTACTAAAAAAATTAAACTACTCACAATTTTCTACAATTCATGTCTAGACGACTTATTGTGAAATAAGTAGTTTTGGCGCCAGAGCACCACAAAGTACACTTTTATGACCATATTGGGATATATTACCTGACGTCACTCTAATAAGTATTGTCAATAACAATGTGTGTGTGTGTGTGTGTGTGTGTGTGTGTGTGTGTGAAGCACGACACTTGTATATGCTAAGTAACAATGCTAATAATAATAATCAAAGTAATTTTACCTACATTTATTATAATACTAGCTGTGCCCGCGACTTCGTTCGCGTAGAATAGTGACTATGAGCAGCGATTTTTTTTAAATATATACTTATTTTTATTTTAGATTTGGATCATAATCACAGTCATTTTGGGTAGCTAAAAAACCTACTTTACTGTAATGCTTCTCTATATACAATATTAGACGTATGGCCATCGGGGGTGAAAGCATACAGGCTCCTGGGATTGCTAACACGGGACAGAGCCACATACAATTGACCGTGCGAAAAACAGCTGATACTTAGATCTATACCCACAACTTTTAGAGTCTGACCTTGAGCTTTATTAATTGTCATGGCGAAACATAGGCTCACTGGAAACTGAATTCGTTTAAAATTAAACGGAAATTTTTTTGGAATGAGAGGAATCTGAGGAATAAAACCACTATCACCAAATCCGCACCCTGTTAAATATATATATATTTATAAGCCATTTCTGAGATTAGCGTGAACAGA